AAATTGACTTCAGTTCCAGAAACAGTAGCGATCTGTTCACGGGTAATTTTGTACATCCGTGATAAAGTAAAAGTTGTTATACCAACTTCTTAATAACTCCCCAAATGCTCAACGGGTAGTGGAGCCATTCAGAGTAAGAAAGTCTGAGTTTCGATCTCTGGTGTATAATGAATCAGTTCATCTCAGTTTGGCTTCAATAAATAGCCTCAGCGCCACTGTTGGGGAAAGAAGGGAATGGAGAAATCAGCCAAAAATGCAGTCCAGTAATCCTTGCTGGAGGTGAGTGTTATGTTTTAACTGGGTGTGGAGAGGGTTGGACTCAGTCACAATGTTAATCCACAATCGAATATCCTACTGATTCTGGAAGATAAGGCGCACAAAAACGGGATGCTAAGTTGTGAAAACTGGTAAAGTAAAAATAGCCAATTCAAGGATAGCACAACCACTCTTATAGCCATGTGTGCAATACACTGTTGTCATATGAAATGTTGTTGTTCACCAACCTTTTATATTTTCTAATTGGAATAACCACATCATAAGATGACTTTCACAGAATAAAGCTGAGATGTGAATGCGGATTATGGAGCAAATTGACCTCAGTTCCAGAAAAAGCACAGTTTTAATAAGTGTGTTATTGTGCCTATTGTAACACGCAGATCATTTCTGTGCACCATATGCAATAAATGGGATCAATTTGTAAAGTCTGTGCCGTGTTCGTATGTCGATCCAAAGCAAGGGGTTTGTGTGCAGTCAGTCACATAACAGTAACTACAAACGGCTGTGCGATACCTAAAATGTTGTGTACACAACACTTGAAAATTCATCCACCTTTGTTTGCTAAGCTTTTCTCCTCAAACAACCTTGACTTTTTCCGTAGTGGCTGTAATAGAGTATAGTTTGATTACTTCCTGCAGTAGAGATTTGAGCAGCGAGTATAGCAGAGTTTTTTCATTGTGTGAGAAAGGGTCAGTGCCAAGAGTTCAGACTTCCAAAATGTTTAATAAATCTCAGCCTTCTGATATCCTGTCAAGACTCTTCTGCAGGTTGTCTTTTTTATAATAAAAAATAATATAGCGATATAATGCTTTATCAAGTCATTGAGATGTCTCAAAGCGCTTCAGAGTATATATTGTAGAATATATATATTGATATTGTCAAGTGGATTGACTATGTATTTTGTGGGAGAAAAGCAACAGCCAATTGTGCACATCAGTGTCCCACAAACAGTTTCAGATCGAGTGAACCAATTTTTTTTTGAAGGAATATTACCCCCAGAAAGTGATCCTTCAATTGACTAACAACCGGGTTCCTACTTAGTGGAAGGTAAACAGATGCGAAATTTGCCTAAGGTTTCGTCCACTCGGGAATCGAACGCGGGTCTTCTCGCTTGTTATGGGACTCCACATTATTATTATTATTCGGACTACAGAGCTCCATATTCAGATTGCAGAGCTGCATATGGAACGAAGAAACACAGCTGGAGAAGTGACAAGCCGAGATGGAGAGACAAGGTAAAATGATAGAAACTCTGAACTGAGAAACTGATAGACACCGAGGAAGCAGTTAACAAGATATAAGCAAGCTATGAGAAAAGTACAAGTCAAGTGAAAGATGGGAAGTGATGATGAGGCAGTAGGAGAGATGGGGAGAAAATAGGAAGACTCAGACAGATCAAAAGAAAACAGTAGAGTGTAATGCGACAGACAGGCTGAGACAGAGTTATCTAGTAAACATGTCCTGAGGGTCCTGAATGGACAAAAGTGGATGCACATGCAAATGTTCTAAAGTATTTCCAGCAGTAACGTCTGAAAACCATAAACGACTCAAAGCCAACTACTGTTGGTAATGTAGCAAAGCAAACCACTGCTGGAAATGTAGCCCAAGCAGCAAAAGCGTGAGAAAACGCTTGTTAAATTTTTAACAATTGTAGCAGCTAAAGAAAATAGAAACCAAACAAAAAACAAGGACAAACAATAACAGTAGCTTGTATTAATATAACATCTTTCACATAAAGTAAACATCTCAAAGGGGTTTACAGAAGAAACTTGACTAGAAATTAAATCAAATGTTGTTATTTAGGCAAATGTTGCAGCTGGTCTGCACCAGCAACATTTCATAAACAGTGAGTAGCCAATTAATTTGAGCATTTGGATAATGAAAGCATATGTGTCCAACTAAATCACCCTAACCCTAACCAATAAATACCCTGTGGCAGAAATGTATGTCTTCACTATAGTCCATGAATTTAGCATAGATTAACAGCGATAATAAATATAATAATCCTTGTATTTGATATAGCGTCTTATCACGTCATTGAGACATCTCAAAGCGCTTCACCAGAATTACTGTAAAGTGGAGTGATTGTATTTTGTGGTTATTTTAGAGGGTCTATGCTTGTGTTAACAGTGCTTGTGGAGTCCTGTAGCTCAGTGGTTAGAGCACTCGCTTTGCAAGTGAGAGACCTGAGTTCAATTCCAGGCACAGGGCGAAACCTTGGGCAAGTTTCCTTACTCCACACGCCTAATAATAATCCCTCCAAAAAACCAAAAACGATAATTAAATTGGTCATTTTCAATCTACGACTGTTTGTGGGACATTGCTGTGCGCAATTGGCTGCCGCGTTCGCCCACAAATATACAGTCAATTCATTTTACAGTGTGTTCTGTGAAGCGCTTTGGGACGTCCTCCCGACGTGAAAAGCGTTATATCAAATGCAAGGATTATTATTATTATTATTATTATTATTATTATTATTATAACAGGAAGCCTCAGAATACTTCACAGGGAGTTTACTTATAAAGAGAAGTAACTGTGTGTTTTGTAGGTGAGCAGGACAAACAATTTGCGCACAGCAGTATTCCCCAAGGACAGCTGTGAAGTGAATGAACAATTTTATCTGGGCATTACTGGCCAGGAGAGAGAAACTCCCTCCTCTTTTTGAGTGGCGGCATCCGCCTGGACAGGCAGAAGGGATCTTGGTTTAACGTCTTATCTGAAGGACCGTTCCCCCTTATCGCCCCTCCCCCTTATCCCCCCTCTTATCCCCCTCATCACTCCTCCCCCCTCTTATCCCCCATCTTACCCCCCTCCCCATCTTGCCCCCCACCCCCATCTTCCCCCCTCCTCTCCCCTTTAACCCCCCTCTCCCTCACCCTCCCTCCCCCTTACCCCCCTCCCCACCCCCTTACCTCTCCACCCTCTCTCCTCCCCTCTTCTCCCCCTCACTCTCCTATCCTCCTGGGTGGGGTGGGGTGGGTTAAGGAGGGTCTCCTTGGGGCTGAACTGGCTCCAAGTTGACTCGCCTGCCAATGGGCGCGGGGAGTCATCCCACCCAGCTCCTGTTAAACCCTTCAAGTCAAAGCCCACCCCCCCATGGTTGGGTGGTCCAAGCCGGACAAGCAGCGGGAAAGCTCGTCAGACGGGGGTCTCAATGGCAAGTGATGTGCGGGTTTTAACCGCTTAGCCTCTGCCAGCAGTTACCAGCAACGGACACTCTGGGGGGGTCTCCCCGTGCCTCGACTGGTGCCAAAACTGTGCCTGATACCTTCAGCAATTAGGTAAGGTTTTCCTTTAAAACACACATACGCACACAATAATAGTACACACACACACACAATAATAACACACACAATAATAACACACACACAAGAACACACACAATAATAACACACACACACACAATAATAACACACACACTAATAACACACACAATAATAACACACACATACATTAATAACACACACACAATAACACACACACATACAATAATAATACACACGCGCACACACAACAATGACACACACACATACATAACACACACACACATAATAACACACACATAACACATACACACATAATAATAATACACATAACACACACACATAATCATGACACACACATAACACACACACATAACAACATACACACACATAATAATAACACACATAACACACACACACAATAACACACACACACATAATAATAACACACATAACACACATACATAATAATAACACACATAACACACACACATAATAATAACACACACAATAATAATAACACACACAATATTAATAACACACACACGTAATAACACACACATATCATAACACAGACAGAGAAAGAAGTCCAACCCCCCCAAAAAAACGCCCAATTAGGCGCGAAACCCGCCCTCCCTCCGCGCAGTTGGGGCGTGAAACCCGCCCACCCCCTCCAATTGGGCGTGAAACCCCGCCCAAAGCCTGACAGCGTTGGAGGGGGCGCCCGGGCTGCCGCGGGGGGCGGGCAGTACCTTGAGACTTGACGCGCGACCTGTCAATCATGCGGCGTCACTGGGAGCCCGGGGGGAGGGGAGGGGGAGGGGGAGGGGAGGGGGGGCTCTGAGTTGCTCCAACCTCCACAAGAGCATTTGGCCAAAAAGGGTTCGGGTGCCCCAAAGCCGCTGCTCACAGTCAGTTCATCGCAGGCCAACCCCCCCCCCCCCCCCCACACACACACATATATATATATATATGCACACACACACACACACACACACATATATATATGCACACACACACACACATACATATATATATATGCACATATACAACACATATATATATATATATGTATGCACACACACAACCAATTCCCCCCCCACCCCAAACCCACCTCCAGAAATCTGTCATTTTCAACCAGGCAACCAGCAAAACCTTGCAAGTCCCCCCACCGACTGCTTCAAACAGCATTTGCAACCCAGAACTGTTGTGATTATCCTTTTTTTCCCCCTCCTCTCCTCTCCTCTCCTCTCCCTCTCTCTCTCTCTCTCTCTCCCTCTTTTTTTTTGGGAAGACACTAAAGACGGAGCTTTGCTGATTTTTCCCTTTCCCTCTTTTCTCTCTCCTCTCTCTCTCCCCTCCCTCCCCCTCCCTCCCTCTCTCTCTCTCTGTGTGTGTCGGTCTGTCTCTCTCTGTCTCGCCAATTCAAAGAGTATTAGTATTATTATTATTATTTTGGGTGGTGGGGGGGAAAAAAAAACAGATATGGACTATTACTATTTATTAGTTTCTTATTTTATTCCGTTGCTTTTGCTGAAGTCCAGACTTCCAGCTGCAAACACAGAAGGTGAGTACTGTATTTTTTTTATGTTGCACGTTGCCTTTGCTCTCGTCTTAAGTGGATTAAAAGGTAATAATTCTGATTAAATGCAGTTTTTTTTAGAAGACTTTCTCTCTCTCTCTCTCTCTCTCTCTCCGAAAGCTCATGTCAATGCATTGTTGCCTCGAAACTTGGAAGGGAGTGTGGAGTTGTTTGGTGATGGTGGTGGTGGTGGTGGTGGTGGGTGAATGGGGTTGGGGTGTGTGTGGGGTGGAGGGAGGATGGTGGGGGGTGGTGGAAAGTGTTGCATTTTTTGTTAAATTCAGCTGCCAACACCAAATTGTTGGAACAAGTGCGTTACATTTGTGACTTTAACCCGGGTTGGAAAAAAAAACTTGGAAGAAGAAGAGGAGGAGGAGGGGGAGAAGTAGGGGGGGGAGGTGAGAAAAATAAATACCCATCAAATTAGAACCCCCCCCAAAAAAAAGTTGCAATCAAAGGATAATCAGTTGGACATACACAACTTGCGTCTTGTGTTTTTTTTGTCTCCCCATCTCTCTCTCTCCCCCCCCCCCCCACTCCACCCCCACCCCCCACCCACCCACCCACCCACTCACGCACACGCAGATGCACTGCTCTCTGGCGAGTTTAGCGATTATGGACTGATTGTACCGTTCTCGACCGATGCTCAGGGTCGCTATGTCTCGCACCTGGTGTCGGCTGCAGGCGATGCTGATGCTGAGCTGCGCTCCGGGCGGCGTGTGGTCAGGAGCGCAGTGCCCCGGGACGGCCCCGGAGCCCGAGACCTGTACTTCAACCTCACGGTGTTCGGGAAAGAGCTGCACTTACGCTTGAAGCGCAACGACCGACTGGTGGCTCCCGGCGCTGCGCTGGAATGGCAGGAGGGTTTCCACGACTTGTTCGCCGAGCCGATCCGGGCAGACTGCGTGTTTTCCGGGGACATCACAGACATGCCCGGAGCCAGTGTGGCCATCAGCAACTGCGATGGGCTGGTGAGTGTGTGGGAGGGGGGGGATGGGGGGATTGGGGTGGGGGGGGTCGTCTATCGCTGCAATAACCACCCACCGTAACGACTGCAAGTAATAATGTTCACTGCAAATAATAATAACACCGTCCTGAGCATAACTCTGCATTTACTGTACACTGCACTGCAATGATGGGGGAGATGGGGGGCTGGGGGGATGGGGGGGCTGGTGGGGGGGGGGGGGTCGTCTATCGCTGCAATAACCACCCACCGTAACGACTGCAAGTAATAATGTTCACTGCAAATAATAATAACACCGTCTTGAGCATAACTCTGCATTTACTGTACACTGCACTGCAACGATGGAGGAGGTGGGGGGCAAAGGGGGAGGGAAAATAAAATTGCATATGGTTAAAGTTTCAGTGCACGACAAGTAGTAAGACAGAATGTATCTGCTTTTTATATGTGTATATATATACAGACATATTTATAAAAATGTGATTTGTTTAACGGGTTTAAAAACAGCAAGTGAACCGTTTTTTTGGGGGAAAAAAAACGACTTTACTAGAAAGCTCTGCGAATAACGCTCTAAGTTGGCACTGTGTGCTTCCAGTTTGCTTAGAAGTTAGATCTTGGTGTATATATGTGTGTGTGTGTGTGTGTGTCTGTGTGTGTACGTGTGTTTGTACGTATGCAACTGTGCATTGCACACACATGTGTATCACTGTGTTGGGTATAAACGTCGACTTGCAGTTGACTTTCTGGGGTTAAACCAAAGTCAGATAAGAGACCTCGTTTTAACATGGAGTAAAATATGGGAAGCCAGTGGTCACGATTTTGATGACAAGCAGAAACAGACCCCCCCCCACCCACACCAAAAAAAAATAACCTCCCACGAAATGACAGTGTAGAACTTGTGCCCTAATAAATTCAGCCTTCAGCAAGTTTCAATTTTTGCGCCTTTGCCTCTGCATTTCTGATTGGTGAGGAGTTGGGATGATTCCACGTTGATCCTTTTATGGAATGGACGTTTCAACCGCAATATGCGTTAAAGCTTTGCTGTAACCTGTGCGTTGCATTGCTGAAGAGACCACTGCGTGCAATGGCACGATGCGGTTTGGGAGGCGCACTGCGCAATGCGTTGGCTTCACTTGGTTGCATTCTTGTCTGTTGGGCATTTTGGTGCCAACGGCCCCTAATGCGTTTAATACCGATACCTGGATTTTTTAAAATATATATATATATATACCTCATTACGATTATTATTGAGATCTGTACGCAAAACATGGTTGAAGGGTTGTGCAATTGTTTATACCCGACAGTGCCAAGGTGGGCACTTTTCCAGGCGCGTTTGCTATCTGGACTGAAGTGAATAATGCTAAATCTTTGCATCTGGTAAAATGCCTTATCATCACCTCGTCGTCGAGACGTCTCAAAGCCTCCGCGCAGAATACGCTGTAAAGTGGATTGACTGGGGATTTTGTGGGGCAAAACAAGGCAGCCAAATGCGCACAGCAGTGTCCCCGCAAACAATCATGGATTGAGTGACAAAATAATTTTGTTTCTGTATTTTTTGGAGGGATTATTACCCCCGGAAAGTAATCCGCCAATCAACCGACAACCAGGTTCCTACTTACCGCTAGGTAAACAGTGGGGTGTGGAGTAAGGGAACTTGCATAAGGTTTTGCCCCGCCCGGGAATCCAACCTGGCTCCTCTCACTTGCGAGGCAAGTGCTCTAACCGCTGTGCTCCAGGAATCCACAAGGGAAATGATCAATGCCAACTTCACTTGCTGAATATTTTATGATTCAGGGAGAAGTGTTATTACTGCTGTGTTAGGGAGCACGTGAAATCATAATCCCAAACCTATGTCATTTGGTAAATTAGTTACGAAGCAGGGCTTTCTGCTTCTTAAAATAGGAGAGAAAGCATTAATTTTGGAACCCAAATCCAAATTACGATTTTCTAGTTTTATTTCTGGCATTTCAAAGATAGTAATTCATGGGGATCACGTGTTGTAGTGTTGAGATCACAGCTCAGAATAAACGTTTTTGTAATGCCATCTAGTATAAAGGATTGGTGTCCATCCGCTTAAAAGTAAAATAATAAATCCACAAACAAAGCAGTATTTATTATGAAAATAGACAATGAGGATGAAATCTAAACTATAGACTTTAGTCATGTGCTTATATTGCTTAAACATGCATCACTGTGTGCAATTGGCTGCCGCGTTTCACCCACAAAATACAGTCACTCCACTTTACAATGTATTCTGTGAAGAGCTTTGAGACATCTCAACGACGTGACAATGCGCTGGGTCAAATGCAAGGATTCTTATTATCTGATAGTATATGTCTAATAGTGTATAACCCTTGATTAGATTGTAGTCTTGTAACTCAGGTAATTTCTATTTGCCACAAACATACAGTCAATCCACTTTACAATATATTCTATGAAGCGCTTTGAGACGTCTCAACAATATTGTTATTATGATTATTATATAAGATGTGTGCCAACTTTGTTTATGGTCAAAAGACAGCTGGACTTCTGCCTCCTACTGATGCAAGCACATTTCTGTAAATCCTGTTCTGATCTCAGCAACGTAAACTCTGTCCAAGCCCGCAAGGAGTGTCAAGGACAGCAAAAAGGCTGATTCTCAGTGTTAGAAGGATAATAAATGGAGGGATATGAAATGATTAGATAGAGTGCTTCAGCCTCTTCAGAGAGATCTTGAGATATTTATATGTTACTTAATGGATGGAGAAAGTTAAACCTGGATCAATACTTTCAGGCATGCCAAAGCAGGAGAACAAGGATCGTAAATTCAGGGTTGTGAAGGGCAATTAGGTCCAAATACTGGGAATTATTTCTATCCAAAGAAGGTAATCAAGAACTGGATACGATGATTAAGGCTGAGACATTCAATTCAATTCATTCAATAGCCTGTTTCTCTAATCAGAAGACAATAGATTTTCTAATTTGGAAGAATGAATTCAAACTGACCCCTGTGGAGTATAAACACAGGCATGGACTAGTTGGCCCAAGTGGCCTGTTTCCGTGCTGCACGTAGTATGAAAATCCTTGTGAAACGTATCTAAAAGGGTTGCCAACCTGTCCGTTCCCTCTGCTCATGGATATTGGTCTGCTCCATGTCCCCCACTTTGCCCGTTCCACCATCGGAGGTCGGGCCTTCAGCTTTTCTGGTCCCATCCTCTGCAACTCCATCTGTTAGCCCTTTGCTTCACCCCCTCCCTTGCCTCCTTCAAAGGACATCTCAAGACCTGCCTCTGTGACTGTGCCTTTGGTCATCTTCCCAACTCCATTCCTCTTGCCCTCCACACCCCCCCAGATCGGGTGCAAATTGTTTACTGTCGAGCAATTGGGACGTCCTCCTGACGTGAGAGACGCCACATAAATGCAATTTGTTGTTGTTAGTATGTGTGCTGATACAATCAAATGTATCTTTTAAATTTGTAATGTAACATTTCAGAATCTATCTTGTCTGTACATTGCACCAAAGTAGAAGTGGTTCAAGTTATTTTATGTTTTTCAGATTCTATTTGAATTTTATTTACTTCCAACTTTAGATTTAATGGCCCAAAGCATTGAGGAGACTTATACTTGAACTGTCCCTGACCCTAATTTGACAAATTGCCATCTTAAAAAGCCCATTAGCATGGATTAAGTATTACATTCACTATATTATTTACTTTCGTTGCTAGACATTAGTACCTTTTTGAGAAAGTTATGGAGCTAAGTGGATACATATATAAGTGGAAATATTTATCTCTGACTCCGTACAAAGACTACTGTTTGGAATGAAATGCGCACATTAACTTCAGTCTCTTACACCAACGCATAGATGTTAATAAAGTGTCTACATATGGTAGAATTTAATAGTGGTTAGAGAGAGAAAGTGAGAGAAGTTGTAGTTGGAATATAATCTATTGAATTATATTTAGTATTACGCTTGATTGGGTTAGCGTTGGTTTTTAGTTATATAAATTCTAAAATGAAACCTGCTGTTAAACGTTTAAAATGTGTCTTCACTTTGTGTCCGAAGCTTTTCAAAGCATTCCAAATCAATTTTAATGTTCAGAATATGAAATTGCGACACGATCTAGATCGATTAGATCACTCCACAAGAGAAAGTAGTTGTCTAATTTGGGAAAATATGCTGTACTCCACGTACATTTTAATCAAAAAATTCTCAAATAATTCTGTTGCATTATTTTTATCTTTCAATGTAGCTCGCCAGTAACTATTTGACAGATAAACAAGACGTCCAGTGTATCTCACTGTAGCATTTTGAGCATGTTTGAGTGGGTTATTGCATGCTGTTAAGGTCGTACCACTTGATAAAATAAGAATTTTGTCCTTCTTTGGTTTTATATAACCTTGCCTGCCTCCGTGTTTTAATGATAGGTTAGGAGCTGTCCTCATAAGCTAATATTGATGTTGAGATTGGGAACTAAGTATCAGTGAGTTGGCTCAGTATATTGATGCCCAGATCTACTGTGCCAAGACATTTTAGGCATGGGTTTGAGTCTTTTTCTGCCATACTGTATGGAAGAATGGAGGTACCCGTCAGCATTTGAAGCATTTAAATTGATCATTATGCTGCATTAAGGAGGACAACAACAAATTACATTTTTATAGAGCCTTTCATATTGGAAGGACATCCCAAGATGAGCAAGGGGTTGGAGCCAGGGAGGTGTGCGATCAAAGTGGAGGTTCTTGAGACAGGCCTTGAAGGAGGCAAGGGAGTGGGTGAGGCAAAGCACCTGTGGGATGGATTTCCAAAACGTGTGGACTGAAAGGCTGAAGGCCTGACCGCCAATGGTGAGGCAGGCTGGGCAGCAGACATGGAGCAGGCCAGAGCCCGCTGAGTGGAGGGAATGGAGAGGTCTGAATGGAGTTAGCAGGTTCCCTACTAGCAAGTACGGAGAAGCAAAGCTATAGAAGGCTTTGAAAGCAAAGGACGAGGATTTTGAACTCTATTCTCTGAGGGATGCGGAGCTAGTGGAG